AGAAGTGTCAGAATCAATATAGATTTTTCTCAGTCAGAGTAAATTCAGATGGAACATAGTAAAAAAAGGTAAATTCTTACCTCCGCCTACAAAAAACCCATTACTTATAGTGAAAACCACCCTTGGATGATGGGTTAGTAGACTAAAAGCTATAGGAATCCAAACTATAACATATAATAAGTACCCTGTATCAAGATTGAGGTAAAACAAGTTAAATTTGACCTTTTTAGAGAGATTTAGCAAAAAAAAGTTCCAGGCGGAATAGGCTTTCGGCACATTTGGGTATATCTGGTTCCATCAGTGCCATTTGACCTTTTTCAGGTACCAGACTATAAAAATTATGTATTACATTGAATTATCACCATAGGTATTCATTCCATTCAAAGAAAAAAAATTAAAATAAAAAAAATTAATAAAAAATTTAAAAAAAAGAAGACCCGCCGATGGGGGCGTTGGGGCTTAACAGGTTAAAAGTAAACCGTTTTCGGACGGAGAGTTCATTAAGGAGTGTTTGAAAGTGCCGCTCTCCCGACGCACTGTTATGAGGAGAATTGAGGACATCGCGGGAAATTTGGAGCTTCAGCTGCAGAACAGAGCGGTCAACTTTGACTTTTTTTCCTTGGCTTTGGATGAGAGCTGCGATGTACGTGACACTGCCCAGCTACTCATCTTCCTACGTGGGATAACTACAGACTTCAAAATCACGGAGGAGCTGGCAGCCATGCAGTCAATGAAAGGTACAACAACAGGGAGTGATTTGTTCACGGAGGTAAATGCATGTGTGGAAAAGTTGGGACTGAAATGGGACAAGCTGACAGGCATGACAACGGATGGTTGTCCAAATCTGACAGGGAAAAATGTTGGACTATTGAAGAGAATGCAGGATAAAGTGACAGAAATTAACCCTGATTAGAAATTGGTATTTTTGCATTGTATTATACATCAGGAAGTGTTGTGTAAGTCAGTGTTAAAAATTAACCATGTTGTTGATGTTGTAACTAATATAGACAGACAGTTTGTTGCACTTTTGGAGGAAAGTGAGACTGAACATCGTGACATACCCTACCATGCAGCTGTCAGGTGGCTCAGCCTGGGCAAAGTGCTGAAAAGAGTATGGGACCTGAGAGAAGAGATTCAAGACTTCTGTGTGAAGAAAGGAAACGACATCCCACAGCTTTCAGATGCAGACTGGATGGCAGACCTTGGTTTCGCTGTAGATGTGACTGCACTAATGAGTGAACTAAATGTCAAACTGCAAGGCAAGGGCCTTTTTGTGCATGACATGTACAGTGCAGTGAAGGCTTTCATGAGAAAGCTGCAGCTTCTCTCAAGCCAAATGGAGGACAACATTCTCACGCACTTGCCAACACTGAAGGAAGCCACACCATCAGCTGATCACCTCCAGAGGTACTCATCCATGTTAGAAGCACTGCATGGTGAGTTTTCAAGGCGATTTAAAGACTTCAAAACAGTTGAGAATAAAATGAACATGATCTTTTCCCCATTTACATGCCATGTGGATGATGCACCCAGTGATGTTCAGCTTGAACTCATTGACCTGCAGTCTGACACACTTCTGTCAGAGCACTTTAGGTCAGTCTCACTGCCTGAGTTTTACGCTTCCCTGAAAGAGGAGAACTTTCCACACATCAGGAGACGTGCTCAGAAGATGATGGTCCTCTTTGGATCTACCTACATATGTGAACAGACATTCTCAGTGATGAAGTTCAACAAATCCAGATACAGATCCTCTATCACTGATGATCACCTCTCAGCTGTCCTTCGCATATCCACCTCAGACATTGAACCAGATTTCCGTGCACTTGTTCAAGCCCAAGACAGACTGGATTTTTCTCAATGAACAAGTAAAATGAACTAAAAAACAAAAATCAAAAGCACTCATTTCTTTTTGTATAAAGCTGATTCATTTCTTATCTTTAACATACTGTAAAACACCTTTTCAGTATTGGTATATTGAGCAGAATTAAGTTCAACTTATTTTTGATTCGGCCCCCCAACACAGCTCGAGTTTCTGAAGTGGCCCCTTGTAAAAAATAATTGCCCACCCCTGGTCTAGCTGAAAGTATGTGGAAGGAGTAGCATTTGGCGCAAGGTGTAGGAAAAGAGGATTTGAAGGCATCTCCCATTGACTTCCATGTTAAAAAAAGAGTTTAAAAAGCTGAATATTTCAAAAAGTATAAAATATTTTTAAAAAGTTGAAGGTTTCCCATCGATTCCTGAACAGGCTGAATAGTTTGATATTTGAATGGTTTCTGTAGCTGAAAGTAAACTGAAGTTATGGAGAGCCAAAGTATTGGTGAAATAAGGGGAAGAATAAAGAATTGAAGTACTATAGTGGAATGCTGTGGCACAGCATTCGCACTAATTACATCAACTCATTTGAAAGCTGCTCTGCAATTGGATTGTAATGGCTGTAAATTCTAACTGATTTCCATATGACCCCAGTCTCCTGTATACAGTAATATATTCCTTGTTTTTGACTCAACGCCAGATTATTGTATGAAGGGGCGTTCAAGAAACCTGAATTATGTCAGTTAAACAGCACCTGTGCTACACGGAATCCCAGGATTTCGCATTTTACAGACAACGAATTAACTCTTTGCAGCCATGTATTCCCCCTGCGGTGGGTAGGCGAGGGTCGGGAACATTTTGTGCCAGAGCCGTCAAATGTCCGGAGAACTGCTTGGCTGCAAAAACTAACAGTGCAGCATCAAGTCACTAAACAAGCGCTCCTATCTGTGTCTGCCCGCTCAGCCAATGTCCTGCTACTATTGACCAGGACAGGAAGTTAATCTATTCAGGAATCTGAACCAAAACACCGTGAGTCATGCTGATGCGGTATACGAGGGGAAAGCATCAAGCAATACATCAATATAAGATATTAAATACATCTTAAATCGAGAGTTATCTCAATGTGCTGCCGAAGCAAAAATGTAAACTGCTTAAAAGCAACAGTGTTATACGTGAGATGTTCTATTGCAGTCTAAATATATTTATTTGATTTATGTGAAGACAAATGTAAAATTCAATAGGAAATCATTATTTAGCTTATCGTTTAACTTTGTGCTAGAATAACAATGTGTAACTAGTGGAATAACTTAGTGACTGGACATGCCTAGAAGTTGCAGGGGAAATGACTTTGAATGAGTTGCAAGCGAAAATAAAACTTGGGAGAATATGATCAAATGTCAGCTTCCTCGATGGTGTCTCGGTGGGAAAAGAACAATGGGACGAAGATTTGTTATCGGTTTTTTGTATTATTTAAGTCGTGATTCTCCAATACAAAAGTCTTCAGGTCCTCAAGTGCTTTTGAACAGTCAACAGCTGCAATGAAAACACGTTTGGATATGACGAGAGGTAACAACAATAGCCTACCACAGGAAGAGTTTTGATAAACAGCTGGCAGAGGACAGCGGGTTGTCGGTTCCGTCTTTTTTATTAATCTCCATGATTATTTGGCATCAGTTCTTCTGGTGCCTGGCTGCGGCGAGAATCCGCCTCGATAGACACGCGCTGGAGGGTCCTCGCACACCACATGACGCTCCCCAGTCCCCACCATCCACGCGCTCGTTGAGACTTGAATGAGCCAATACTGTGGCAGAGCTCTGCTCGAGGGGCGTCATCAAGTGCTGTTAGACGTATCTAAATTAGATCAACTCCACACAAAGTGCAAATTCGGGATATTTTCTCACACTTTGGGATGTAGCGTTTTGTGCGTGGAAACTACAGAGAATGTGTTATAATAATGGATATTTAGTAAGGCGATTCTCTGAATCGGGTGCCCTTTGTGTCCCCCAAGCTTACTTCAGAGATTTTAAATGAAAGGAAACTACAATATGCATTTTAAAGCACTGAATTAAAGGAACAGGGTGTTTGCATTACAATGTAAAACTAAATATATATTTTTAGTTTTAGTTTTATAATAATTAGTTGTCTTTGTAGTAGACAACACACATTTTTGCATGTCCTCACTGAGCATCATCACATATTCATTGAATATTAAAGAAATAACAATTGCCAATTATACCAACATTTTGATGCTAATATAATCATATGCGCGTGTACTTTAACTGAGAAAAAAAAGTCTGAAAAAATAAATGAATTATCTATGAAACTGCACTATTGACACTCGTCCCCCAGTTTGTTTCAACCCCGTCACGCTAAACATTTTACCCCCCTATTAAAATAATGGATCAGTCCATGTGACATCTGCATTGAGGGAGTGACATCACAGAAGTCTAATGAGGAAAAGGCGGCAAAGAAAGGCATGTGTCAGTGTCTTTTCTTACCTATATTTCATTTTTTTATTGTCAGATTGAGATTGTCAAGCTCAACATTTCAACTCTGTTGTATGAATTACTTATAGTAAACAATTATTTAGGAAAAATTAAACAATAGTTTTGCAAAATATTACAATTTGATGATGTCCTTAAATTCCATGTGGTGATGTCTTAGCTAAACAAGGTCTCATGGCTATACTTTTTGCCAAAAACGTACATGTATTAAGTTAGCTTGAAGATCCAGTTAGCTGGGGGCCTGTATGCATCTAGTAGGACTTCATTTACATCTGATGCAAAACCAGTTAATGGAACATTTCTGAAAACGGTATAATTTGTCTTGTTAAATCATTGTATAGTATTTTTGTTTTGTTTGTGTTTTTCAAAAAAGGAGGCTGGACTTTATACTGGGGAATGATAGTATGTTATTGAAGTTATCAATTAAAAATAAGTCATGTCTATATTCCTTTCCATTAGGGAAACATTTGCTGTTCCCATAAGCCACCAATAGAGGGCACTAAAAGTCCATTCTTAAAAGCAATAATCCTCTCAAAACTAAATAGGAGTTTACAGTATTGAGTATATATGATTCCAAACTTTCACAAGATGCCAGGGAATCCCACATTTAAAACTTGCATTGTTTTAATAATCTTTAACCCAAATAGAGTACATCCCATTAAACTACATTGGAAACGACCAGTGTCCATTTTAAGCAAAGTGTTTTTTTAAAGATTAGCAAACACACTGCCATTCAACCAAATAGGAGTCTAAAATGTTTAAACTTTCCATGTTTACTTTGACAAATTCAACGTTTCAGGTCCAAGCCTACCTGCCACGGATCAAAGCTGTTTCTATTGGCTGCCCATCTGCATGTGAGCAGTCTCCCTGCATCCCGGGCCCCAGCTGCTGCTGTGTCACATCTTGTTTACACCAGGGGCCACGGCTGTGTTTGACCTAGTTGCTGAAAAGCCCCAGAGGCAAAGTTGGAAACAAACTACACATAGACACAGACATGGGGAAAATACAGAAGCCATTTTTTGGACAGAAATGAAGGACATTTGTCAGTTACTACTAGAACAATAACTGAATGGGCAGAAAGGTCAGTTCAGGTCGATACATCTATGTAAATATATGTTCATTTTATTTGAAGATGTTTTAGTGATTTTTAATCTCATTATTTGTGTCACTCAATACTGTAATATGTTAAATCAACTGGAAATAGCACATGTAATCTTTGAAAAGTAAAGCCAGATGATGTGGAGTCCATTTAAAGATGTTATCTTTCCAAAATGTGCCAACTCCCAATATCTGAGGACTTGTGGTCCTCACAAAGACAGATGTACACAGGTCAGTGGTTGGTGATGTGAAGCAGTTTCCATTCAGTTTAAGAGTCCAGACAGAGAAGGGACCAATGTCTCCTCCCAGTTGTGTGAAGTCCCACCTTCAATGTTCAACAGAGAAGTCAGTGAGGCAGCTACTGTCATTGGCTGGGAGATTCATGAGTCACGTCCTCGTTCTTTGGTAAACTGAGCAGCTCCTGGATCCTCTGCATGTCCGTATTGACTTCCTCTGCCTGAGAGCCCACGTTCAGATCTCCGATCAGTTCTTCTGTCACGTTCAGTCGGTCCGTCCTTCAGGGAAAAAGAAGGAGGGACAGGTGACTTGAGGATAACACCAACTTTTAATTAACATTTTTAGTTTTAATACTAATATCCTATAAAAAGTGTAAAAATAATGTTAAAGTCTTCTAATATATCTCACCATTCTGCGAGTTTAAGATCGTACAGTTCGCTGCGCTCTCTCCTCCTTTGGTCTCTGGAATTGTCTCCTGCCATCGACCGCATGCCAACAATCAGAGCGCCGGTGGGCAACCTGCGAGGGGGAAATGCAAATATCAAATATATATGAGAACACAATACCAAGCAGAACACAAATCTGTATACTTCTAATGTGTGGGCACACCAGGTGATACATATATGTAATGTAACATCTATGGTTGACACTTTCCTGGACATTTCAACACTGAGGACACTGGGTACGTAATAGATTCCTGAAACACTTCCTGCTATAGTATAATCTGTTTGCAACACATCCAGCTTTCACATGTGAGCAGCTATTTTATTGCCAACACATTTAAGCTGTCTGTTATTTGCACCATTGTAATAAATTAGTGGCATATCCCCTCATTGGTGTTTCACAAAGTCACGCTTTCCTCTGCCATGTGCCCCGGACGAGAGGCCGAATCTGGGCTGAGATCTGGAGCGTGATGTGCTTTACGATTAGCTGCCTGCTTTCATCTGGCCCTCTTCGGTCCCCACTGCACCTGACGGAGCCGGGGCCGGGGCTGTTTGCACACATCAGACGCTCCAGGTGGCCGGTCACTCAGGCAGACAGCGAGGAGAGGAGGAAGCCATGAGAGTGTGTAGCCAGCAGGAGAAACAGAGCAGGGCTGAGCCAAGTGATGATCACAGAGACGATCCAAACCAGCCCCTCCAGTCTGTTACACCATCAAACACCTCACACTCATTCTCCATTACACAATCAGATCCGCTCTTGGCTCTGTGCGCTCGGCAGAAAGCTGCCAGAGGAGCGAGTGAAAGTGGGACAGAGAGAGAAGAAAGGGTGGAGGAGAGGGGGTGAAGCATAAGTCCAGATCAGAGCATGGTAGAGTGAGACGAGATGCTGGAATAACAGAGATGGTAGAGTCGGAGCAGGGCAGCTGCTGCCTTGGCCTGCCTCCTTGCTCTAGTACCCAGAACACGGCCCTCTGCGGTGCACATGAGTCCCTCTGGCCCCGTAAACAGAGAAGAAGGGGGGGTGGGGGTCCAGCTGGGCGACAGAGGGTTGCTGGGAGGGGCGCAGCTGGCTGCCAGAGTGCTCTCTGCTCTCAGGCACGAACGTGGACACAAGCACGAGCAAATACGCATTGCAGCCTTTGACAATGTAACTCACATGTGAGGAATGATTTAGAAACGTTACTGTAACAGGTGGATGTGTTGGACACTTGTGGAAGCAGAAGCCTTACCCCAGTACCACTCCGATGAGGGTCCCTGCCAGCAGCCCCCCCGGGCCCAGGTTCAGCCTGAACAGACCTCCAGTCACAGCTGCTCAAACACACACACATCTTATCATCATCATCATCCATAACTTAATGTGCTGTTATATTTACTGTCTGTGTTAAAACAATTTGTCATCTGGTTAAATGAGGATTACAAAAGTTTCACTACTATGGTCAGTAACAGAAATTCTACCAATCGTATCAACATTTGGGAAGCCGAAGATGGCATCCATGCATATTGGAAATGATTATTTCTTTAAATAGTACAATTCAATTTTCAGGGCAGTGGATTCATGAAGTAATGCCTTTTGTTTATCAATGGATGGACATTGTTATGCATTACTTACAAAACTGTAGAAGACAGATGACAGGATATGAGGTGAGAGAGAGTGCAATAAAAGGCCCTCGACTTGTGAACTGGTGCCAGTAACATCGTAATGATGACGTTGACATGACTCTCAGACGGAGATATGTGATTGTGACGAGAGCGCTCCGTCTGCTTTTCCGGCACAAATAACATGAAAACATTGCGACTCACCTCCAGCTGCGACATAATGGCTGACTGCGTTCTTGTCCCGGTAGACGGACAGCCCAGTGCTGACAGAACTATAGAGGTAAGGAAACAGACAAGGGATGAGGGAGAGGAACCAAGCCATTTAAGGACATTTTGAACATGAAATCAAATATGAATTACAACCGATTCATTACTGCTACACATTTAGCAGCAAGTTGTTGCCACAGAGCCTGTTACCGTTTGCTCTGACTCCCATAACTTGGAGCCAAACAAATAAACAGGCCTTTCTGGTATTTCAGTTGAGAGGAGAATAACCGGAACTAATTCATCTTTGTTGAGTTTCTTTGTAAACAACTAAATGTTCCTTCCTTTACTCTACTTCAATGAATAATGTGTCTGCTTACTTGAATAACGTGACGAAAGCAGCCACTCTCCAGCTCCATCTCCATCCATATCTCACAAATCCTCGGATTGCTGCACTATGGGCTGAGCGCTGATTTGGACAAAAATCAGAAGGTTGAATGTTATTACCATGATGCTATAAGATTAACTATACAAATATCTCCCTGTAGTGCAGTCTTTTTTTACTAGAACATAATCAGCAAGGATTACGCGCAGAGTCAAAATGTACAGGACTCGGAATTATCATCACAAAACTAACTGATGAGTGTGCAAAACAAACAGTGAGGAATATTAGACAATTGAGGTTACTGTAACTTTACTCCTTATACCTGACCTTGAGTTTTTACACCTTTGTTGCAGAGGTGGGAAGTAGTGGAGTACAAATACTTTGTTACTGTACTTAAGTACATTTTATTGGTATCAGTACTTAACTCCACTACTTTTTACTTTGACTTCTTACATTTTGAACACAAATACCTGTACTTTCTACTTCTTACATTTTCCAAGCAGGCTGGTTCCTTTAGTTTGAATGTGTGTTTGGTGGCGTGATCATTATTATTTAGAGTCATTGCGTGCCTATTGATTTGAACACGATCCGTGTATCCATCATTTCCTGGTCTTCTCTAAAGAAGAGGGACCAATGAAAACGTTGTCATGTTGCCGTTGTTCAGCATGGAAACATTCATTAGCTAACAATGACATTATTGTTCTATTAATATAAAGGGAGGTCAGGTACTCTTTAAAACAGCTGCTAGTTATGGGTACTTTTTACTGAAGTACATTTCGAAGCCCAAACTTAGGATAGGATGTGTTTACTTTTGCCATCTCTGTTCAACAGTAGAGTTAATGACACTTCCACACTCAGACAGTCCACTCGTCCACTTCTGCCCCTCGTCCACTCACCACTGCCTCCACTCGGCTGCTGTAGAGCTCTGCCTGGCTGACCTGGATGTAGCTCTGCCTGGCGTGGCGGGCTGCAGGCACGCCTCCGTACAGCAGGCCGGCGAGGGCACCCACCACCCCGCTCTTTATCACGCTGGTCAGCTCCTCAGGGTACGTGTGTTTCTCACTGCAGGGAGACAAGAGATCCACCTCCTTTAACAAACAAATCAATGCCATGATTACAAATAAATAACCTAAAGAAGTTCTTTATAAACTAAATCGGATCATTCAGAGTTTATTAAACTTAGTTTTCAGCCTGAAAAAGATGGTATTAAGTACATTAAGCTGTCCTTCCATATTTTTGTTACAGTGAAATTACATATTTAATGCATTCAATGATTTCACTTTTTTACTACTGTGTGCATAGATTCTCCCATTTGAAAAACAACAGCAAAAAATACAATTGTTATAATAAATATGATGTAATGTCTCTATGATAGTATGAAGGATTCTAGTTCGAATCCACTCGTTCCTAGTGGTCCTTCTCTGTTTTGTCAAGGACGAATTATTGACAAAACAGTGTAAATCCTTGTGTATACTTAAACATCTGTATACTCCCTTTGTCCTAAAGGTCAGATGTGATGCTAAACGCTTAAATACAAATTATGTAATTGATTTTTGAAACTCCAAATGTGCTAAGCATGCACAAACAACTGGTCATTCCTCACAAATGTTGTCGTGGAGAGAATAAGCTTCAGGAAAGTTTGGTCTGTGTTTATTGAGTAGCAGACATTCTGAATTTGTGTGTGTTTTTATAACGGCCGTGTCAAAAATGACCATCCAAAAAAAATACTGTATACCTCAGTGGTGTATGGCTTTTTAGGAATTACACACAAAGGTATTTTTTTATGTCACTTATTTCAGAAACACTTTTTGTTATAATCCATGGAATGCTCTTAACATCCCGATAGCAATGAATATATGAAATGCTTTGACAATAAATACATTAAAAAAATGTCATCTGTGGAAGCCGTAGCGGTGTAAAAAGCACGACCAATCATTTTAGCCGGCCCGGCTAAAATAACTGGATGGCCTACCTGCCTGTCAGCCTTCCATCTGTGCACAAACTTATCTCGTGCCCTCATTGGTCATGTGCGCGTTCGTGTGTGTTGGAGGAGGGGCTCTATAAGGAAGTGGCAGATTTTCTCCGGTTGTGTATTTTCTAATTCTAGCGATCTCGAGCTGGTTTCTCCAAAATTACCTACCCCACCTTTAAGTAAAAGTCATCACATTTCAAGTTTAAAAAATATTTTTAGAGATAGCTGTATGACATAGCGGGTCACTTTTGACAGCACAAAAGTTAAGTGAAAGAACAGAAGACAAGTCATGAAGGAACAGAAATACCAACTCCATTTCAAAGAGGTCTTTGATGCGGCCCCATCCCGTGTTTGCTAATTCTGGCCTGCCCATGTTGCTCCACATGGCGCTGGGAGAGGGGATGGGTGGAGGACTGGTTGAAGAGGAGGACGAGGACGAGGAAGAGGGCATCTGTGCGGGCTGGGCAGCAGCCACATCAGCAGCATGGACCCTGGGGAGCAGGGAGCAGAAGGGAGGAGGCCTGGCGCTCTGGAGGAGGCCCTGCAGTAGGCCGGTGCTCCACGTGCCCCCGGAGGGTGAATCTGCCCGTCTCTGTGGGGCGGGGCCCGGTCTGGGCTGCTCTGGATACATCACGCTTCAGCTGGCAGAGAGGGAGAAACACACGGCCGTGGGTTGGGATGTTGCACTCTGTTTCCATTTAAAATCAAAATAAACAGCCTGAGGGCAAATGTAATCCTGTCAGGGCACACAGGCTGTCCAACTCAGCAGCTGTTAAATGGTCCTATCAAAACACACTGGGCTCACAAGCAGCCTTTCTGGGAAAGCCTTTCTTTATGGACTTTAAAATTATGTTTCATGCACTGCTGCGACCCTCAGGTCCTCTGAGCAGGGTGGGCTGCTCCAGGTTCAAACATTACTAAAAAGGTTGCTGTATTTTAACAACAGAAGTCCCAGAAAATGCCATATGACTGATAATATTTGTCTTCTGGTTTTGTAGTCCAGTTTGTTTTATATCATATCACTTTTTGTTCTGTCCTGTGAGGATCCCTTATTTCTAATGACATTTCGTCTTTAAAAAATTGATTACTAACAGGAAATGGATTAAGTAACATCACATTTTGATAATCAATTTTAACGCTATACTTTTTGTCCAATTCAGGCACCAACATTGCTGCTCACAGCTTCACAAATGCAGGTGGATGTGTTTATTTTGATAAAGTAAAAGTAAAATACGACAGAATAAAAAGACCTGCATTAAAATACTTAAACTTATAGTAGCAAAAGTAATAGTTATGCTTCATGTGATTTAGGATGTTCAACTTAATGCTGCAGCTAGTAGAGGTGGAGCCAATTTGAAAACGTATAAAGTTAGCTAAAAAAAACATTGTGATTTTAATTTAGTTTTAATAATCTGAAATCTGCTAAATAACTAAAGCTTTCAAATCAAAGCAGTAGAGTAAAAAGTGCCTCTGGTTACATTCCAGGACTGCACATGTGAATTACTGTTAGCTTTTGTTATACATCCTTTGAAATATAATATACTAGGTTTATTTTTGTTCTATTATTTTAAGCAAAGCTTGCAATTGTTCTGACATAGTGCTGTGTCTTTTTTTAAAGTACATGTTTAACAACTGTGTCATTTTATAAAATACATTTCTAACTGGCTAAATATTCCAAAAGGTTAATACAAAATGTCAACAGTCAAACTGTCGATAAAGGGAGCCTCACGTTAACACCATAGTCTTTCTTAATGTCTTCCATTTTTGTGAAGCACTTTGAATTGCCTTGTGTTGAAAGGTGCTATATAAATAAACTTGCCTTGCCTTGCCTTGCCTATGGTCAACACTTAGCATGCTATTAGCATCTGTAATATTTGTGATATAAATGAAGCATCTTACCAGAAAGCAGCACAGAAATTATCACTCAAAAAGCGTTTGTTTTAAGTAACCAAACCGTAGTTATGGTACACGAATTCCAGTTAGTTTACACATTTCTGTTTTAAATAATTTAACCTCCTGTCGGATGCTTCAAAACGGTGACTTTCCCATAACCTGCCGGTGTTCCGACCTTTGACCTCGGAGTCTACAGCGACACAAACCACAGCGCCCCCTGCGGTGGAGGAGTGAACAACAGGCTGCATGTGGAAAGGTACTACACGGTCTTATCACATGAAAAAAACACTTTTAATATTATTCAAAGTCAGGACATTTAAAAAACAAAACAAAGATTTAACATTGTATTCATATCATAACTTCAACATCAATTTAGTTTTTTTAAATACTGCAAATGTGTGCATATCTCAGACGTTCTACTTTCTATGAGTTAATAGATACCAATTGATTGCAGTTGCAGTTTCTGAGATACACACATTTTATAACACACACTGTATTAGTCTCTGTGTATATGAGACTACTGTTTTTCCTATAATATATAGTAAACAGTAGTTCCATCATGTGCCCATGTATGATGAAAAACTCTTTAAAGCTGGTTTGACCCATTTTTAATTGTAAAAATTAGAGTTGCAGACAAATGATTTAAGAACGAAACTGTTTATTGGCATAAAAACAGAAATCCTGCACCTCACACTTAAACCGGATAACTCTTCACATCTTTCTGGTCGCATCTACTGTACATACTGATAGTGATCTTCACTGTAATAGTGTCAAAAATAACCTTACATGGGTGAGAATCAGCTTTTTTGCATTACAATGTAAATATTACAACATATTCAACATGATCCTGCATCAACTACACACCGTCTATCATCTCTTAACACACATTATTTTCAAAAGGAAAAACAATTAGTGTTTCTTGGAAACTCCACAGATCAAAAATATATTCATTATTGCTTACTGCTGGCACTTGGAATAAAATGTTGAAGGAAAAAAATCTAAGCATAATTGTTCAACAAGTAAAAGTACATGTTCTAATGACACTTGGTAAAGGGATGCTGTAGTTACCCAAGATGTCCAGTAGAGGAGAGTGTAACAAATAGATTTTTGACCATTACATTACTATTAATAGGGATTATTACATATGGAATTTTAGCTCATGGTTCTCAGTGTTTCCCATATTATTCAACATACTAGAAGGCAACTTAATGACAATACAAAAAAAACAGTTCTTTATGGTGCTTAATCCTCCCACTGCATTAAATATGTAACAGCATGGCATGTGTAACTATTATTATTATCTTTATCGGTACAACTTTTGTAGATATTTAAGCAGCAGACAAAAGTGACATAAAGAATTTAAAACCAAAGATTTATGATATCCAAGATGATGATTATAATTCAATTAAAAGTCACATTTTACAGCGGCTTTTGGAAAGTGGTTTGATTTGATGTGAAATCTGGGACCTACATGTTGCCTTTAAAGTAGAATGATGTTGTGGTGTGTGATTACATTCATGTTTGAGAGTCCTTCACTGCAGAGCCTCTCATAGCTCCGTCCTGCCCGCTCTGTGCACGATCTGGTTGTAGTTGCTATTTAGTTTTGGTTTGTAGGTGAGGAGACTGCTGAAATCAGTGAGGAGTGTCTCCCAGTAGCAGGAAACGTCTTTCATCCGCAGGTGCTCCAGGATGAACTCCTTACCCCTGTGAGGAAACACACAATTACAGTCAGTGTGCCGTTCGCCGTTATCTCACTTTCAGTTCAAACACAAATGTTAAAATATGTTACCTTGAGGCGATCTCCTGTGCAATGTCATCGTTCTCTTTGACAAACTGTAGCAGTTCCCTGAGGAGAGAGAATATGTAAAGACATATCAACGTTTAGCGTGCATACAAAGGAGATTCACACCTTCATATATGAGAATTCACACCCTGACAACATTAAAACAAAATGCCTTTCGTGCCAAATACATTCATTGAAGTACCGGCCTGCACATTTATGATCTTCATTAATCAGTCACACGTCTGGGACTATCAGGTTTTACAACTGTAACACCTTCACATGTGTAATTATATAGCGCTGACATACATCAATCTTGTATCACAGATTACAGGCTTTTTAAATATTACAAAAGAACCACAAAATATAATTGTGGAAGCGGCTTTTATCCATTACACTGCCAGACACATTTTAATGACAACTGAAAACATATATTTTCTTTAAACTCAGGCTGCAATTTGCAATATTCCACTTCTACTGCTCTTTAAAAAATTGTTTAATGTAATGTATTTATAAATTGTTTCTTATTTTTGTCCTACTCTTTACTGAGAGGGTTATCTGTTGTTAACTTTCTGATTTTTACTTCACCAGTGGGTGTTTTTGTTGTTTAACAAAACCTGAAAGTCCCTTCAGCGTGTGTCAAACACAGAACGTGGGTGTTTCTCAATGTCGAGGACGTTTCCTTGGTAGGACATTTCCTTCAGAAGCGTGGCAAGAATCCTTCATAGCCTCGGAAAACGAAGAACGGTGGAACAGGCTAACAGGTGTGCGTCATATGCGAGGCCCCGCCTTAAATGGAGCACGATATAAGATTTGGAAATTGGTCCGTGCGCAAAGCATTGTGGGGATTTTAAGACCGCGGAAGATACACATGTGCAGCCTTGAAATTTCTCGCTACGAAGGACGCCGGGCTCGGTAGAATTCCAAGTATGCTGGACATTGGAACAGTCCTTCGGCGGGACTCGATGACGTAGCATCCTTGAAATAGTGGCTCTGGAGCAGCTTTCCTCGACATCTGACCACAAACTTTATCAACAAGGAAATGTCCGACAATATACCTGACATCCGATAGGTCCTGCTGCACGGGGATGTAATGGACCCAGGGCCGCAGCTGAGGGTAGAAAAACTCCTGCCATTCATCCCCAACATGGAACACCAGAGCCCCGCAGAGGAAGAGGTGTTTGAAGCGGAAGCTGGCCGCCACGCCTCGGAAGTTGAATAAATATCTGCAGGCGGATAGACAAAGACAGGGGAGATGGTTGAGATAGCCCACAGATCAAATTAGCATTATTTTTGCAGACAGTCAGTGAATCTTAAAACGTCCGTCATTCAAAATCCTGCTCACTTGTATTTGCAGTGATCGACCAGGGGGATTTCTTTGGCAGGGGGTCTCCCCAGTGTGTCCTAAAACAGAGAGGAAAACACAGGTTGGTAAATAATTATCACAGACTTTCAGATTTCACTTTTGATTAAATATCAAAGAAAATAATAAAAGGGTACAAATATAAAAAACGGCTGTGTTTTTCTGTCCTGAAGCTTTCTACTCAACCATCATTACTCAGGAAGGGTCAAAATAAGGCAAATATTTGATATTATATTTTATAATCTGGCTCTTAAATTAATTCCAACACATTTTTTAAAGTTAACTGTAAGCACTTTCACATTAAAAATTTAAATAGGGAGGGATGAAACCCTCTTTAATGGTCACACATGCAGAGCACACAGCACACACAGTGAAATTTGGCCTCTGCTTTTAACCCATCCTAGTACAAGGAGTCTAGTACTAGGAGCAGTGGGCAGCTATTGTACAGCGCCCGGGGAGCAATGGGAGTGGGGGGGGAAGGGGGGTGTCCGGTGCCTTGCTCAAGGGCACCACGGCAGGGCAGGAGGTGAACTGGGACCTCTCCAAGTAGAAGTCCACACTCCATATTTTAGGTCTGGTCGGGGACTTGAACCAGCGACCCTACGGCTCACAGTCCAAGCCCCTACTGACTGAGCCACTGCCGGACATAGTAGCAGTGGCGGTTCTAGAACATTTTACATGGGGTGGCAAAGGGGGGGCAAGAGGTCATGCCAGGGTGGCATGGGAGGGCGGACAGTACGTGGTATTTTATACTGTATATAACCTATTTATTGTTAATTCATGCCCTAACACAAGTGTTCTTAATTCACAAGAGAAACCAGGTGTTCAGACAAACAATTGGGTGCCCTTTGAGTCCCCCAAGCTTACTTCAACAATTTTAAATGAAAGGAAACTACAAAATGTATTTTAAAGCAATGAATTAATGGAACAGGTTGTTTTGCATTACAATGTAAAACTAAATATATATATTTTTTTGTTTAAAAAAAATTGGTTGTCTTAGTAGTAGACAGACATATTTGCATGTCCTCACTAAGCATTATTACATATTAATTTAATATTAAACAAATCAAAATGGCCAATTATCCCAAAAATGTTGCTGCTAATATAATCATATGCTTGTCAACTTTAACTGATCAAAAAGAAATTCTGAAAAAATACTTGAATTATCTATGAAATTGCAATATTGACACACGTCCCTCAGTTTGTTTCAACCCCGTCACGCCATACCATTTACGGAGGGTAAATAAAAAATAATGGATCAGTCCATGTGTGATCTGCATTGAGGGAATTACATCACAAAAGTCCTCTGAAGAAAAGATGGCAAAGAAAGGCAAGTGTCAGTTTCTTCTCTTACCTATATTTCAGTTTTTGTATTTTCAGATTAAGATTGACAAACTCAACATTTCAACTGTGTTATATGAATTAATAAAAGTAAATAATTGTTTATTACAAAATAAACAATAGTTTTGCAAAATATTACAATTTTGTAATGTCCTTGACTTCCATGTGGTGCCATATCTTAGTCAAGTACTTAGTTATAATTAAGTACACAAATGACATCACCCATCTGTTCAGAGAGCTAAAGGTGACCTGTGCAGCAACACATTTCAATCAATATGTGTCAATACTAAGAGCTGCTAGATTGTGCTGCTGTAATGGAATATGTAAGGAGAATAAGAACATACCATGTGGTCCAGCTGGAGTCTCCTCTGCCTCCTGATCCCTGCCTCTCTTTCTGACACTTCATCTGTATTCCTCACATACATGTCTTCTTCTTCACTAATGTCTTCATCTCCTCCTCTTCCTCCTGCTCTGACCCTCCTGGTCTCTTCATCTCCTCCTCTTCCTCCTGCTCTGACCCTCCTGGTCTCTTCAGTGAACTCTCTTTTCCTTTTCCTCTTTCTGTTCATCCTGATCACTTCTCAGATATGTATTTGTGTTGTTGTTGACACACTCCAGCTACTCTGGCCTGCAAGAGTCCACTTGTGAAAAGCACTGGTACAAATGCTTGTATAACTTTACACGTTAGGGCCATGTAGCTGATAAGTAGCATATCATAAATATAACATCAGAAAGTATTTATAAAACGCACACAGGAAGCTGTGTTTAGACCCAGTTTTTACGGTAAAGGATGTATCCTGGTTTCATTGATCTGGCCTCATTGCTGTGATGTGTAGTTTACGTGGATTTTACCGTGCCGCATAGTTTAGCAAAGTGATCGATCTCCCAGCTAGCGCTGTCTGTGTAGTATTTTGTAACGTCCCAAACAGCGACCGCCTGTTAAACGCTATCGATTCAAACGGCTGCGTTTTATTAATATTTAGTTTACAGCTCTCGTCCTTAGTAAAAACAAAACTAGTGGAAGGGGAAATGCTCCCAGGGGAAGCTGATCCACCCTAGGTGCTGGGACAGCTCGCTCCCTCTCTGCAGCTCTGTGAGCCGCGGTCTGTGTGAACGCCGCTCCACAGTTTAATGCAGGGCCGTAGCTGCGTTTTTAACGGGCCTAAAATGATATTTAAAATGATTCACTTTTAACTAATGTAATGCTTGTTTCGTTGCTTGAGAAGCTTGTGGAAATAGTGTAGGTTTGTTTTAGTACAGTTTTAGGGAAACAAAAGTTAGTGGGGCAGCTGGGGGGGCAAGGCTCTACAGTGGGGGGGCAGCTGCCCCCCCTTGCCCCCCCGTAGATCCGCCCCTGCATAGTAGAGTATACTTATTATTTCACTATTAAATTAGATCTTTTTGTGCTATAATAACCCAAATGATGTTTGGTTACAGCATTTTACAGAAGAGTTACTAATTCAAATAATCATGTCATTCTTTATAACCTACATTTTGAGCACTTGATTCCAAATCCAAGAACTTGAACAACTTGGAAACACCATATCAACAATCCTAATGTTTTCAAGGATTTCCAGCACCCATAGGTTCCCTGCATTATGTGTAGATGGACCCAGGTGTGTGTACTGACCCTTTCAGACTTCCAGGCCTGGTTCTTGGTGTACTCTGCGTCCACCAGCTCTGGAGCCTCTCTGGAGAGGAGGATCAGAGGGTCGCGCTCAGCACTGGTTCTATCAAAGTCAAAGAAATATACAGAAGAGAATGACTTCAGAGGAGGTGGGAACTTTGCTGCCAACTATGGTAAGAAGATAGTTGAGTAAAGAGTTTTTGAGTGACATTAAAACATTTGGATTCTTGTTCAAGTCTCAAGACTGACCTGGAGCCTCTGAAGAATCCTCTGGACTCTTTCTGATTCCACGGCCACTGAGCTGCAGACCTAGCACAACACATCACATGGTTAAAGCACACTGAAGTGATACTGTGCTGCAAATTATTGTTATTTTAGGCGTTCCATTTATCAATTTCTTGAATTATGCCATTACAAATGTTTTTTAGACATCTGATTAAGTGGATCAAACTGCAACAATCGTTAGACTAGTATTATTTTGATGTTAAAACCTAAAGAGGAGAGAAAATAAGATGCTAAATCGTACTTTTTAAGGTCGTCCCTCATTAGGTCCCATCGCCCCAGTCCAGTGGGGTATATGGGCCACACGGCAGGCCCCCCCTCCCAAAATGTCCACGCAGGGTACATGATGTCCTGGTAGTCTGCCGTCTACACAAAACAAACATACACATATCAAATACCAGTAATTTTATTTAATAAACTTTGTGTGCGTGTGTGTTTTCACATGTAAATGAAGCTACTGTCTGACCTTACTGAAAGAGAAGACAGGCAGGGTGGGCTTCACCCAGCTGGGGACTTGTGGGTAATCTCTGACATTCACCACCATCTCCAGGTCAGGTAACCTGTCAATCACCTCCAGGATGAAATGCTCCACCCCACTGCACCTGGAAAGAGAACAGATGTATAGACTGATCAGATATTCTCTTTTAGTCAGCTTACACTTGAGGGCAAAGTGTTCCTTCCCCCACAGAGTCCAACAAAAATGTGAAATGTCTCTCCTCACCTGGCAGGAAACATGCAGTTGCGTTCTCTGTACAGCTTATGTCCGATGATCTGGTAGTGTGTGCCCACGCCTCTCTGAACAGTCGCAGCCATGACATCCTCGGAGATGAATCCTTTAAAAGGCTGCAGGTCATCTTGAAGGACGCTGAAAACCGACAGAAAAAATTATCAAATCCACATTTCTTAATACAAAAATTCAACTGGCACAGTAGTGATTCAACCATATGTACTAGAAAAGCAAGCACACATTGTCCTCTCACTGACCTCAGATGGCAGCTGCAGTTGACAGGATTGCAGGGAGTGTGTTCTTTCACAGCATCAGAAATTCTGTCTCTGATGTTCTTCCACGGTTGGCCTGAAATAAATGCAAATGATGTCAGAATATAAGTTCATATTGGATTTAGATTCCTAGCGTTTACCGCTTCCAAGGCTGATTCATCCCATCAGGAAAGAGAGAGCTTATTGTGTCAGTATCCCCCATGACCCTGTCCCAAACAAAACAAGAAATACAACTATGAAAAAGTCAGGTCACTTAAAGTATATTAAAACGCCAATAAATGGATCCTGAAGCCGATGAAATGCAATTCTGAGAGGAAACAGTTACAGGATAAAGGAGCCAGCCTCTTTGCTAGCAAAATAAATATTAAAATGCATACACATACTAATAAATATATAAGGAATAATATTTTTGAGGAGAAATTCTTTCTAGGAGTAAATTGACATTCATAAAGCCCACTGTTTATCTTTACAGGACTTAATAATAATAGAAAATAATACTTTTATTTGCCTCAATGTTAAGTTTTGTGTTGTCACATGTTAGCAGTGTTTATATTTACATGAGAGTAAAATACATACTATGCTTGTGGGTCAGCCTGGACTTCGTTTTAACTTAAAAAATAGCCTAAAATATCTTGAATTGTGAATTGTTTTATTTCCTGTTCCACACATGATATCAAGACAGCATTACTGTTTTAGTTTGTCTGAGTAAACAGAGTGCAGCAAGCCAGAACATTTGTTAGAGCTAACTACCCTTAGCTGACCTGTTGCCAAAAAACGACCAGTCTTAATTAATAACCATTTAACTAAATACGATTAAAATGTCAATGTAGGCACAACTTTTAACCAGAGCTAATGCAACTCTTAAAGTTAACACAGTTAGCTTAGTGGAGTTAGCTCACAGGCTAGTCAGCTAGCTCGTGAAGTGATGAATGACTCCCAACATCAAAAGTTATCTCAAGTAGGTACAGCGAAACTAAATGCGCTCAAGTCGTACAGCCACTTTCTAAAAAAAGGTTTAATGAGTCGTATTTTTTAAAACATGTATTACCTGAGGCAGGAACCAAACATAAAAGACAAAGTTGCAACAGTATTAAAACCCTCCACAGCCAAAAGCGCTCCATTTCTCTCTCTATCCTCCAGCTATGTCTGAGAGGAGGAACAAAGCGGCGATCTGTGATCTACTACTCTGGGCTGAATGCAGTCGGTACGGTAAAGCGCACTTCAAAATTCATTTAAAGGTTACACTACCGTAACGTTTAAAAGACTTGCTTACTTTTTCATTAAAGGAATACTGCTCATACAATCTCTCTTTGCATAATACACATTCTGCCTGTCTGATAAATTAATCAATAAACCAATCTTTATTCATTTAAAGCATGAAATCTTATTTTCCAGTGCATAGTATTATACAATTAAAGGGTGATTAAATCCCCACGGTTCCTCTGTTCTAATTGAACAATGTATGTCAAGGGCATAGATGACTGGATGATTGTCCATGGATTGTTAAGATGAGTTGGGGAGAGAAGAGGAGGAAAGTAAGAGACTGAGTGACAGAGAGAGGAGGAGACAGGTGGAGAGAGAGAGATAGAGAGAAGCAGAAAGAGACAGAGGAAATAGGGATGACATTTTTGTAAGAACTTTTCATTTTTGCTAGGCAGTTCTTTAACTTCTCGGCAAACAAAAAGCGTGGAAACACGTAAATTACTGAGCAACAATGCACCAAATCTGTCTCTCTCTGCTCTCTGGCCTTTGCCTTTGCTTGTTTTCCCTTTGCTGTGCTGAGGAAGGTCTTGAGTTCCCCAATTTTGACGGGAAGGACAGGGTGCTGGACATCAACGAGCGCAACTACAAGAAGGCCCTGAAGAGATACGACCTGCTGTGCCTCTTCTACCACGAGCCGCTGCCCGCCAACAAAGGCCTGCAGAAGAGGTTCCAGATGACCGAGCTGGTGCTGGAGGTGAGGAGGAGGAGGAGAGAGCACAGACACAGAGAACCACAAAGAAACAGTGTTAAAGTAAAGGTCATGGTAGACTGATATTCTCTCTTTTATAGAAAAAGTCTTAAATAACTGTAATGTGTTTCAATGCTCCTATAAATGCTCCTATAAACGATGAATCTTATTTCAGAAAAACAACTTTCTTTATTATTGTTTGGTAAATGATTTACTCATTTGGTATTACTGCAGTTAATAATGTTAGTCATCAATTGTAAGTCAGTTGGATGAAATATCTTAACATCTGTTTGATGGACAGCCATAAATTACTGACATTTCTGTTAAATTCATTGACATTTATATAAAACAGAACTGAAAATGTTTGCATTAGAAGAAAAAAAATATTACTGAAATAATTAATCGCTTATCCTAAAAGTTTCTGATACATTTTCAGTCGATTCAGGTTTGATTCAGGAACTACAAAACTCATTCCATGCCATCAGCCTGAATTAAATATGGTTATTATTAGCCAATGAGCATACCAGCAGCAAGTAGCATTTAGTCTTCTTGCTTCATAAATGGCATAAACAATTCATCAATTATGATAATAGTTAGCCATACGTTTTCCACCCTTTTACTACAAATCTGTAATTTCCCAGACACCACCGTTGACTTCTTCAGGTATGCACCTGAATCCTGCCGAGAAGACACCATTACTGATGGAAGACGTGTGTTGTGACATACTGTATATATCCCCGACATATCTCATGTCACATAGAGCTTATATCCCTGTGGGCTACACTTGCAGCCTCACCATTGTGCACGTATGACTCTAACCTGTCAAAACATTTTACGGACAGGAAAACCAGACACTGAAGGCATCATTCTTCCTCTGCCTGCATTATGTATCACACATGTGTCACCTGCACATTCTTCACTGGCAGGAAGTCATTTAATCCCATAATGGGCCCTCCGCTGTGTGTCATATGTGTCTAGGGATTGTTTCTAGGTCATTTTAGTAATTATAGCTTGCTCCCAAAACTCTTTACTATCTGGCGTTGAACTAGAAATACTTTTTTTTCACATTTATGAGCTAAAAGCCGTCCCATGTCTTTACCTTTTCATTATAGCTTTTACATTCCTGTCATGCACTGAAAACAGAATAACATTCAGTTAAGTAGAGTAAAAGATGGTATCTATTGAGTCTCTTTTCAACAGTTAAACACAGGACTTTCAGGACTGCTGTTTGTGTTATGTGATAAACCAAAAATGCATAGCTTACGTGATAAGTCGTATGCTGACTGACATTTGTCTGTGTGACCACCCAGCTCACAGCTCAGGTCCTGGAGGACAAAGACATCGGCTTTGGGATGGTGGACTCCCAGAAGGATGCCAAAGTAGCCAAAAAGCTGGGTATGACTCATCTGTCTGCATCATTCCATTCCCTGTGTATGACTTTGCTTTCCCTGAAACGATTTGAACTATTGTCTTTGCTACTCGGCTATATTCTCCATTAGGTCTTGAAGAGGTGGGCAGCTTGTACGTCTTCAAGGACGACCGTGTCATTGAGTTTGATGGAGAGCTCTCCGCAGACACACTGGTGGAGTTTCTGCTGGATGTGAGTGGAAATCTTATCCTGATATGTTTTAAATGTGTAATATTGGAATCAATTGAGAAAGGAAATTCTCAAGCTGAAGTCTCATTAGCAACAGAAGCTTTCATGTCATGTTCCCTATCTCTTATCAGAGTCATAATCTGTGACATTTTCACATGAGTTCCAATAATGATTTTATATTTTGGGGAAACGAGTTGCAAATTAGGAGGGTTTTTCCACACTTACATGTTAACAGATGCATCTTGGAGTGGTAGTTAACTGCTATCTCAAAGATTTTAAGTCAAAATCACTGACCTGTTTTTTACTGCCCCCAAGGTGCTGGAGGACCCAGTAGAAATGCTCAATAACGCCATGGAGCTGCGAGCCTTCGAGAGGATGGAGGAAGACATCCGCCTCATTGGCTATTTCAAGGGAGAAGATTCATGTTAGTGTTAAGAAACACAGAAAATAAATCCATGTACACCTCTTCTCTGTCCCATTAACTTGCCTCACAGTCCCTAATGGGTTTCAGAGGCTAATGGAGTTATACACCATGCGAAAGGGAAACCTGATTCCAGACTGTGGCACTCTCAGTCCCCTTTAAATAGCTTCTAGTTCTCTGTCTAATAGGTCAAACTGCAATTATAGTTCCTCTAAAAAAAGTGAGAAAAGTGAGACAGGGAAGATGCTATCTGGTCCGATATGAGGCATGAAGGTTCATTATGGAGCCTATTTCTATCCAGTTATAGGTTGGTCCTTGGTTGTGACCTTGCATGGAGCAGAGCCAGGAGCGAGTTATAAGCGCATGCAACTGTATTGGGGAGACCTTTTACTTGCTGGTGAATACAGTCGAATCATCAAATTAAATGAAGCGAGTGTGTTTCACTGCTCGCCTTCCTGATCACATACTGTACATTATGGTTGGGATGTGAGCAGGATGTCAACAAAGCATTGTTCTGCCCTTCTGACGGTTCCTCATCAGTCTCTCTCTCTCTGTCTACTTTTCCTCAGACTACAAAGCTTTTCAGGAGGCCTCAGAGCGATTTCAACCTTACATCAAGTTCTTCGCTACATTTAGTAAATCTGTAAGTTTCGCGGCACAAAATGAATGTTGTGAATGTTCATATAGCAGAATGTAGAAATGATTCATTATGAAATCCTGGCATGTTGTGTGTTTCAGGTGGCCAAACATCTCTCCCTGAAGATGAACGAGGTGAATTTCTACGAGCCCTTCATGGAGGAGCCGGCCATCCTGCCGGGCCGGCCTCTGTCAGAGATGGACATTGTTGATTTTGTCAACCAGCACCGAAGGTTTGTTGTATTTTTCGAGGATTTTTTCAATATTTATTTAAACATTAACATTTTATGAAAATATGCTCTTTTACAGGGCTACTTTGAGGAAGCTCCGGGCAGAGAACATGTTTGAAACATGGGTGAGTAGTCCTAACAAGAGTTTGCAACTAAAATGATTTAAAATAATTGTTTTAAGGTGAATACTAATGTTTTTCCATTCCTAGGAGGATGACATGGACGGCATACATATTGTTGCGTTTGCTGAGGAGGAAGATCCAGGTTTCAGCCTTCTCATTTTGCCCTTGTTTCCCTTTTAAGTTGTTCTAGTACCCCAAAGCTCAGGTTCTGTTCTGTCCTCCTCAGATGGCTATGAGTTTCTGGAGATCCTGAAAGACGTGGCCAGAGACAACACCAACAACCCAGAGCTCAGCATCGTCTGGATCGACCCCGATGACTTCCCTCTGGTCTGTCTCATCATTAGCTTAGCAAGAGTATCAAAACTTTTGTCACGGTAACCTAACTCTGTTTGTCTCGCCCCTTCAGCTGACCACGTATTGGGAAAAAACCTTCAAGTTGGACCTGTTCCGACCTCAGATTGGTGTGGTCAACGTCACAGATGTAAGTCATGAGTGAACTCTTACACGTCACCTTAGAGAATTAACTCTTACCTTAACTTTCTGCGTTCCAGGCGGACAGCGTGTGGCTGGACATGTCCAACGATGAAGACCTGCCCTCCCCTGAGGAGCTGGAGGACTGGATAGAGGACGTCCTGTCAGGGAGGGTGAACACGGAGGACGACGATGAGTCTATGGACGACCAGGAGGACCCTGAAGGCTACGTCCCAGAGGACAGCTCCGAAAGTCAGGAGCCGGAGGAGGAAGAGGACGGAGATGACTAACTCACTGTTGAGGGTGGGTGTCCAGCCAGGTCAGACCTGGGTCAAAACTGGCAACAACCACATTACTGAGAAATTATTTCTTTATCTAATTGTTTGAGTAAAATAAAAATGATGTATGGTTTAATAAAAATGCAGGCCATGAAAACAAAGAGCTAAAAAATGCTCCTTAAGACTGAGATTCTTATAGTCAGATAAGTTTTTGTGAGATCTATTGGCCACATGTTAATATAAAAAATGATCATAGCTTTAAGGTTGAGATAAAATGAGATAAAATAAGATAAGAGGGATTGTGTCTATCTACGTGAAAATAATATACCAAAAGTGTTTTGTTCTTCTAATTAGAAAATAACTTGAACTGTTTTCTTGTGATGAATTCAGAACCGAATAAAAGTATATTCCGACAACCTGCTAGTGTTTTCATTTGAACCACCTCCGCTGTTTTACGGTATGTGAGAACACACAGTTCCCTCGCTCAACAGGGTCCAGACTGATGCTAAAAGACAGCAGATTGACATTTTCTCCCTCAACCAATGAGCGTTTTTCTCCTTGAATTATTCACACAACAGTGAATAATTCAGCATCATTATGCCTCCTAATGGGAGAAGGGACCCCGGCAGTGGGAGACGAGGTGAAATGCCCGACAAACTGCATAAGGAGCGGACATACCATGAATTAATAATACAGGGCCATGCATGAATGATTATTCCCCCGGAGGTGTGTGTATGTAAACAGGATGCGTGTGTCACACTGTGGGATTTACACATAATCCATGCAGCCAGATTTGAGATAAGAACATCCAAGTGTTAAACGTGACCCGAGGCAAGGAGACGTGACACGCTCTCTCCTGAGGAAAAGGAAGCAGACAGTGTCAGGATGTTCTGGGGCTTACATAATCCTGTTGATGTCAAGTGTGCTGGTGTTTAACATGACAAAAAGGGAGGCAGGACGATTGAAGTCTCACACACAAACACACCCGTGCTGCGATGACAGCAACACAAAGAGGGTGTGAGGGTTTAACAGCTCAGAATAAGGTTTCTGTTCAAGACTCTCTCTCTGCACACGAGTCATTACCAAGCAGATAGAGAGGGAGGAATGAAGGGAAGGAAAACATCCCATTAAGATGCAAATGTTCTTCATTTCCCTCTCTCCACATGTGCTCGTCGGACAGAGCAGGGTACGGGAGGATTACGCCGGGGACAGATGAGTTCCGACAGGCGGCTCCCGCTCTCAGGGGTACGAGGTTGTTTGTTTCCAGCGCCGCGGACACCCACATTCATTTACCCACAAGGCCCGGCTGCGACGCTCTGACAGGCTGATGGCAAGCCAATTACCGTTGAGCTTCGTGACAACAAAAAGCCGCCAAATCAAGGCCAAAAAAGACAATTTTGCTCCAACATGTCACACAGCAGGAGCAGAGGCGTAATGGGCAGCGACAGAGCGGGTGTTAGCAGGCCAGCAGCCGGGGGGGGACGACGACTAGTGCACATGGAGAGGCTGAGAGAATAGAGAGACAGGTCATGAAACACATCTGAAATTGCAATGGCAAACAAATGCAATGAAGATAGATTTTAGGTGGAAATATCTAAATAATCAGCAGTCAACTTTGATTTATAATGAGCCTATAATGCCATAGTCACAATAGTCTGTTGTTTTTTGTATCTCGTTATGAAAGTGTAATTTTAAGAGGTTTTAAAGAGGTAAAAACCACCTTAAATTGACAAAATAATGTAAAATACCTCTTAATTTGGATTCAAAAGGACTGCAATCTTACAGTTTGGTTGCAAATACAAGTGATGGCAAAATAAATCCCAATAGAAAAATTAATAGAAAATGTTACATGTCAAGATATTTTAAGTGGATTATATGTATGGTTGAAGGGGTTAAACGATATATAGATAAAAACCCAATAAAATGGTTTTGAAATCAGGCAGCTAATCAAATACAATTATATAAACTAAAGTAATAATCCATTCGAAATACCTTGATCAAGTGTTATTAAATAATTGTTCAATAAATAAAACATTTCAATCATGTTACAAATACCATAATCACATTTTTAAGGTAGAAAAAAAACAAAAACCATTTTAGACGTTTCAAACTATATGACACCAAAAGCCTCGATAGACCAGAATGCAATGCAGCTATTAGGCGTGTTTGGTTAGTTTGAGTATCCACCATAGACTGTATATATATATATACACTAACCAGTCACATATATCTGAAGAGAGGCATTCTGAGAAATCACAAAAGGAGGTAGAAAAAGGAGGGATACCAAAAGTCCAATGTTACAAATGTTTCATAAAAATGTTTATTGTTTTTACAAATGCTAATGCTGTGAAACTGAACCATGTCTTACATTGCAAACGCCAAAGCATCATCATGTATCCGTCCCACAACAGAGGACTGTAACCTGGCAACAGCGCGACACATGGTGGAGATGTAGAGGAGTGGGGGTGGGGGGGGGGGTCGTGTGAACTGGAATGGCATACATATACATTCAGACACACATGCATGTTTACATAAATAGATACAGTGTAAAAACAGGAGGCACAGTCACATTGGGTTCGTACAAAGTTCCTCTGCCGGTACAAAATGTGACCTTTCAAAACAGCAAAAGTGTGTTTTTTAAAGTTCTCCCAAGGTGGTTTAAAAGTTAGAAGTGTACAGTGGAAAAGTTTGCTAAAATGAGCAGTGTGTTGCTGCTTATATCAGGTTTCCCAGCCAGAGGGCAGCACTGGACAACGCTGCTCTCAGACAGAAGATATTATCAGCATCACTCACTTTTCTTCTAGAAGTTCTCTTTTAATACTTAAGTTAATATGCCTGATCAGTTATGACAAATTAAAGTGTCATTGTTGTGCCTTTAGCTTCATTGAACTGCATTCTTCTGGCTTAATCAGGTGAAAGAAAGATTTAGAAACTGTGTACGAGGTGAGACAAGGTCAAAGAAAACCAGACGGACTAGTTAAAAGGAGGTTCCGCCCTTCACACACACTCTTTGTCATCTCTTACTGCATGTATTCTAGTCATACAAGTGAACTGTGTGAGCCCTGAAAGGTAAAATCATACTTTAAATACTGTACATTCTCAAATATTGGCCCTTATTTAGCCGAAAAGTCAAAGTCCTGTTTTGAAAATGTTACCTTTAAAAAGTATAGTATAACTATACAAATGCATTACAGAAAGGTTTCCTGTGACTGTTTAAACTATTATCATTATTAATAATCCAATTAATTTGAATTGGATTTATGATTATAATCATTACGTATTAACCAAACTATATCTTTGGTTAAAAATTGTGAAAAAATATGAAATTCCGTCACAATAAACCAAAGTGATTTGTCCGACAAATCGTCAAATAAATCAAATTGAAATGTAAATGATTTAAATGCAAATCAGAATAAAAGCACAACATTTCACACTAAACTAAAAAACAACGTCAGTAAAGTATAAGCACCTTAAAGTTGTACTTGTTACACCTTTGCTTACCACATTTAGCTGGACTTTTAGTGTGAAAAAACGTCAGGAAATGTTGACGGTAGTTTGACATTGAGCAGGAGTACGAAAGTATAAAAACAATATTGTATGTCAACAACATGACCTGACTGTTGTACTGATATATGCAGTTAAGTGGAAATACTCATTATACTAGATTAACAATGCGAGCTGCAGTGTTTATATCAGGGATTACTCAAATGTGGCCTTTTATATGAGAATATACAGTATTTCAACTTCAGTAACCCGCACAGGGAGTATTCAGTAGTACTTTTTTTTGTGACATGGTTATTCCTGTCTCTGTCCTCCCTTTCCATCGCGTCCTGAGAAGGTTAGTGAACCGATGAGGCAGGGCAAATGTTTTTGGGCATGCGTCCATGAGCGTCTCTCATGATCCGCATCATCGGGAGTTCAGCCGTTGTTTAACATGTGTGTGTTGTTCCCAACTGGAGTGGAAATATCCCTCATGTTGCTCCACTGCACCTGGAGAAGATCAGAGAAGAAGCACCCAAGTGTATGGAGCTCTTCAGGTGTAGGAGTAGTGATGAGGAAAACAGTCTTTGAGCCTCTTTGAGCAGGCTGAGATCATCCTTTCATTTAGAAACCAACATAAATGTGCACTTGATACAAAGTCTGATTTCAGTTTTTACGCCAGATGGATGCGTCCAAAAGAGGGTACACATTCTTCAACACAGGCACCATCTTCGTCTTGGGTTTCCATGTTTCAAATATTTAAATACAAGTCATAAAATCGACGTCCTTAGTGGTTTTCTCTCCAGCAAAAGGAAGGAGTGATTGTGTTGACACAAAATGACACACGTGCACACACAGATACACGCGTAACCGTGTCCGAGGCGTCCGAGTCAAACCGCCGCGAGCGCCATCCCGCCTCTTTTGATTTCGTCCAAATCAAACATATAAAGATCAATATATTCAAACATGAGTGTAATATATATTCATATATAATATATAAAAAATAAAAAAAAATAAAAACTGCAAACCCAAAGTGAAAACATCTGAGACAGGGTGAGGAATAAAAAAAAGAGAGCGTTTGGAGAGCTACACGGAGGTTTCCGACTGTAGCCGCAGGACAAACTTGTGTGACTTGGGGTCGATGTACTCCTCCGACATCTGGATGTACGGGATCTTCTTGGTGGTCACGACCAGGCTGAAGTCCACACACTTCAGCTGGAAGATGCAGCCGTCCGATAGGCCGCTGGTGACCGAGGCGTCGCTGATCAGGGTCCACTGACGGGCCAACCAGTGGCTCCGGCTGTACTGCAGGGTGGGGCCCGCGCTCAGGTAGCTCTCCAGGAACGCCTGGGGGGAAGGGACATAAACACACTTTATTTTATATTCAACGGTAATCTATTTAAAAAAAGATATACATCCTAAATCATTTTTTTATGCTAAAGCAGGGGTGTCCAAACTTTTTTCACTGAGGGCCGCATACAGAAAAATACACAAAGGACTGGGCCACTCACCCGACCTGAGGTTTATTGTATACTATATATATATTAGTGTATAGTTATAATTTAGCAAAATCAATTGGACAACGGGCCGCATTTGGCCCCTGGTCCGTAGTTTGGACACCCCTGTGCTAAAGTGAGTGTGATGTCTTGAGGTCAGAGGTGTGACCTTGGGCGTCATGTTGTTGGTGATGCAGAAGGCCAGGTGCTGCTGGATGCTCTCCATGCTGTGGCAGTGCTGCTGCTTGGTGGTCCTCAGGTACTTCTGCAGGGCGCGGGCCATGGAGGGGAAGATGGCCTGTGCCGCCTCCCGGGGGTCCATCACGTCCACCGGGGTCTTCTTCTGCTCCTCCTCCTGCATGCGCTTGATGTGTGTGAACGCCTCCTCCACCGCCACCACCAGTCTGAGGAGACAGCAGACAGAAGTGAACAACGGCAAAATGACAACGTTTTTGGACACTCTTCTTTAGAGAAGACCAGGAAATGATGGATACACGGATCGTGTTCAAATCAATAGATCACGGCACTACTTCCCACCTCTGGTTACACTCGTGTAACAAATGAAATGCATTTTTTTAGGAGCTTTCCGGCTTTTCATTTTAGATTCCTTGCAGTATTCCTCCATTAATGCTTGATGTTATTACCGTGCTTTGCGCTTGCGGACGCGCCTCTCGTGCTCCGCATCCTCGTAGTACAGCTCGTTGTGGCTGGTGTCTCTGCGGCGGGCTGCGGCTGCGATCATGGCTCTGGACTGAGAGTGAGCCATGCCTGCTGCTGCGTTGTTCCCCGGACCTGTCCCGACACACAGAGAGCACAGGAGGGCTTACCGAGTGTGTGCATACCCCACAGGTAAAGGAACAAAGACATCTGGGGTGATGACATCAAGTGCAACATGCTTTTAGAGCAGCAGTAGATTATGGATGCACATAAACCACGGTCCATTTGCCTTTATCACCGGCAATATAAAATCCCCAGGAGCTGAGGCGAGTAGCCACACAAAGTCGTCAATTGTAATCGTCCTGTGATCATTGGAAACCCTAAAAAGCACACCAACATATTGATATGCAAACATTCCCTTTACGGCGCTGCCTTCAGGAGGCCAATTAAAGAAGAAGTGTCTCGGGCAACTTCACAAGTTTACATGTTCGGAATTACAGGCTGCTGATGAGCCCCGCCTGATGCTAAAGAAGGCAGAGCTGCTGAATTATTAACGGGGATCGAGAGTGAACAGAATAATTCATGGCAGGGGGGGGGGGGGGTCTTTACACCCTCGCTGTTACTGCACTTAAATGGGATTTATGGGTACGATTTACAATGTTGAAAACCATGTGAGGAGCAGGTAACTTGAGAAACTGTTGCACCACGGAAGACTTTAAATGCTGATTTCATCATAGCCTACAAATACACTAGGAGAAGTATCTCTCGATCACACATTTCCCATCATATTATTCTCTATTTATGAAATCGACAAGTAACATATTCATTCTTTCTCGTTGTCTCCTGAATCAGCAAATCAGATAAGAATAAAAAAGTATGCTTGATTAAATTACCCCACAAAATTACAAGTACAATTAATTTCCCAAAGACAATAAGGTATGACAAAACGTGCCATCATTTCCTGTTTCTTTTTACTGAACATTACATTAAAGTAGAGTAAAGGTCCCTTGTAAAGTAAGAATACACATGGTTAGAGTCTTTTCCGTTGTATGCGTATTTGTTATTGTTATTTGTGGCTACAACATATACAATAGCCAATATTAATCATTTAAAAAACATCTGTCTGATTTCATTTATACTGTGGAATTAATCAACATTGAACTCAGTTAAAAAAGCCAATAAAATAGATAACTTATGACTGTTTCAGATTAGTTGTGAAAGCATAAATCTAACAATGTGTGTGTGTTATTTCCCTTGTTTGATTTGCTTTGTTGAAGGCACTTAAAACTCTTCCATATATCCTGCAGAGATTCATTTCCAATTCCAACTATGGAGCTGAGAAAACCAAATAGCTTGTCAGGCATCATAAAATCACCCGAGCACATTTGGAAGTAGTGTAATTGAGTGTTATGGCCGCTTTGCGCTCAGGGCTTCAACACTGTTTAATCATGGAAAGATGATTGTCTGTCCCTGAGTTGGTCTTATTTATTACACTGCTGCTGCGGCTGAGGAAAGAAAGATGGAGTGGGAAGTCGAAAAAGAGGAGAAGAAAGTCCCTGAGCAGCTGCTGCAGGGAGAACATGAAGGAGGAAGAGACACAAGAGAGAAATGAGAAGAACGATGGCATTATAACCATGGATTTATCCGCTACTGTCCTCCACTAACATTTAAGAAGAGGCAGAGGAAGAAAAAAGAACAGTTAGTGCACTCCAGTGAAGCTTGAGCACACTTAAGGGACAGCAATGATTTAATATAGAGGGTTTGTGTTACATTCCAACAGCTGCTGTGACGAACTGTTTCATCAACCTGTGGCATGCAGAGAGGAGTGCTAATGAGTGAAGGAGCGTTGTATAAAGTGAACAGCAGGCTGCAGTGAGGTGCTTCAGATAGTAGCAGCGTTAACTTACTGTCCAAAAGGTAGGCCTTCAGTTTGTCTCTTAAGGCTTTATGAAGGGTTAGCAGAGAGGAGAGAGGACGCGGATATCACATAACCACATTATTGCATGTTGCAGCCCATTCACTACAAATCACCCATGATTTATAATATTTTCAACAATTATATATTAGATTTATTTCCTTCCTCCCAGGCAGACATTCCAGTGCTGTATGGAAATCCTGCAGTGACTTGAAATGTGCTTTAGACGGGTCATCTGTCCCAGAAACTGTGAATTATTGCAGCAGTTATATAAGCAAAAAGAGTATGACGATGACACAAGCATCTATGTGTGTAGCATTAGCGGGAAAAGTAGACCTCCACCACACCGGAGCACAGAGAGAAACCAAAGCACGGATAAGGACACATCACAAAGATCAAAGAGCTTTCCCACTCACCCTCAGCCAGGGCTGCTGGGAACTCACCATCCACGTTGTAGACCTTGAGGCCGGCCAGGTGCTTGGCAGCGCGGGACTTGGAGGCGGAGAGCAGCGCCGGGTTGTGGACGGGGAAGTCGCAGTAGTAGTGCTCCAAGACGGCCAGAGCCGCCCGCTGGATGCTGGGGAGGAGGAGGAGGAGGAAGAAGAGCTTTAGGGAAATGTTCTGGATAAAAACAGGTGTGTCAGTGCTTCCAACAATGGAGAAAAAAGTGGAGCTTAAATCAACAATTCACTGCAACTTCATTACTTCCATCCACAGCTCCTGGCTATAAAGAGCTAATCAGATTTCTGCATTTCCTTGCAGCCCTATACATGTTACTTTTCTTTAGCTCTCCCATGTTATGGAGGAGAAAGCAGTTCAGAGTCGATGTGGCTCCACATGCTGATCCTTCACAGTGGGGATCATGTCAGGGCTTGTCCTTCACAACACAGCACTACTAAACCAACTGTACACAAGCAGGCTGTTTTCACATGTCACATGACATAACTCATCGGGTCTTTTATCACACACAACCTCAGTTTTCCTGGAAGCTAGTTACATTAGGGTATTAAATAGACTTGGCAGTAACCACAGCATCAGCAGCCAGAGCTTTTTATACTGTGGAATTTAGCATCTTATTACAAATTCACCACTGTATTTACCGTCATATACATGTTATATAGTGTAATCCCCTGGAGGGTAAAGCATCATTGGGTCATCATCGACATGATTGAATAGAAAATGTATCAGTGGCCATGTGCTCTGTTATACCATTACTTAGGTTGTAGCATTTAGAAATGAAATCTGGCAGCTAGTATTGGTCTTCCAAAGTAAAGCTAACAACCAGTCAACAATGCTCGCTTTTATCGACTTAAACTATAGCAATAAAGCCAACAAATGCAGATATACATATTAAACCCCTCGTTACATAGCAGTACTTCACAGTGTACGCCTACAGAGGGATTTAGTTGCAGCCAGAGCTCAGTTCTCTGACCTGCATTTATCCAACAGGACGACAGCAGATGTTGACAGCTGTTAACTGACCCACAACACGACTGGAGTGCTTAACACTCGGCCCTTTTCTTCTCTGGCTGTGTGTGTGTGTGTGTATATTCACTGGTCTGTAAGCCCTCACTGCACCCTGTGTCATTCTTTAGGCCACGTGGAGGGCTAACTCAATAAACATGAACATGAACAACTCATGCAGCATGCGCTTCCTATTACCCCAGAGGAGGATGCTGTATGACCTCTGAGCCACTGATGAAAGCAGTCCATATATGTTCTGACCTCTTGTAATGTCCATACCACCCAGGAATTCATTTCTACTGTTATCTGCTGACAGTCACATGTAAGAAGTATCATGACAGGCTAACAGAGTTACTGAACAGATGCTCAGATTGGTTTACAGACAAAAGATGAACGAGTGATGAGAGGATACTGTCTGTTCATGGGTTTAAAATTGGAGTGCAAAGCCTCCAATAAGTCCCCTTTTTCACATTTTTAAAGATGAAAGGAATCCCTTTTCTCATGATAACGTTTAGATTATGCATGATTAGATTTGTGTATTTACATGAGGTCATGAAAAGGTACTTTCGAAAATATGTTCCATTTAAGTCAGTTAAATAGCAAGAAGCTACAAGGCCAAGGTGTAGTAGTCCTTTGATTTTTGCAACATTTAACGTTTTTTCATTTGCCCACGCATTAACCTCCCGACAAGTTCATGAAAACCAGGCCAGAAGTTGTTCAGTAGTCCTGAACACAAAACTCCCTCGGTGAACGGAACAACAAGTGTAGCTTTTTAATAATTTAGCGTGTGTTAGACTTGAAGTCAGCCATAGGAAAACACACCAGAGGGTGTATCAGCAAACTGGAGGCGCGCTCACTTCCGAGGATTGATAACATCTCCCATGTTTAACCCAAGAGACCCGGGCAGCCCTCTGATCCATTAAGCAGACACACAGGACCATTGTTTAGAGCAGAACTGCTGAGTCAGAGTTCCTGCCGCTTTCGGACTACGATCAATTATTAAGCCGAGCAAACATGACACAAAACCATGTTGGCGGTCAGAGCAGCGTCTTACATGGAATGAAAGAATTGCACTTAGTGAGATTTTCCAGGTAGTCACCCTCTGTAATGTTTGTGAGGAGTGACCGGTCAGGGAGTGTAAACTGGGAAGTCCCCAGCAGTGAGTGTTTAACCCCCACCCTCTGTGACTGGAAGGAATGTGTTCATATTCGACTCCTCTGGTCTGACAAGGGGACAAAAAAGGCTTCCTCTGGAGATTGGCATCAAAGGCCAGGCAGACAGAGACAAGCCTTGAGGGCCCCGGGGCCGAGTCCCCTTTATGATAAGAAAGATGAATGGCAGAGAAACAGGAATGTGGGCAGTGAAGTAGAGGAGGAAAATACACACTCTCGTCTGGCTTTCTCTCTATGATGCATTGTTCGTGACTCATTTGCATGTATATGATGCAATTACGCATGCAAACACACATGTTTATGCTAGGTCGTGTCCATGCATGTGTGTCAGGCTGACCAGATGGGAGCTCTCATTAGCCCTGAGTTTACAGCCTGCTGCGGCCAAGCACCCTGAATGGCACAGCTTACAAAGGACAACAGCCCCAAGGCTAACGCACCAACCAGGCCTTCACACACACAACTACACACACACACACACACACACACACACACACACACACACACACACACATCTGACCTGTTTCTGCTAATGCTAAGTCAACTTGGATATCAATACACATTCAGCCTAAAGGTTAAAGGTTCAGCACAAGCACATTTGATTATTAATTATAAATGACAGATTGGAAATATCAATAGTCCAAAGAGAAAAAAGTGATACTAGATGACCTTCTAACATAATACTCTTTTAGGGTGAATTCTAAATTACAATCGTCACCTTAATAATATTTAAATTAAAGGTTGCATTATGTGTTGAGAAGACATTCTACTTCTCGAACTAGATAGTCATATTGGGTTATCTGAAAAAAAGGCACACATGGATTTGAGCCTTTGCAGACCACACGAACTCATATAACAAACTACAGGAAAGGGACAACCCCAAAAAGCACAATAGGGCCTAAAAGAGTACTTTTTTCCATTGCTGATTAAAATCAATATGGATTATTTTCCACATTACGTTCACCAGCAGACATCCTGACATAAACAAAGACACATCAATTATTAACCAGTCCACTACGGGGAAAAAACACATACATGTAAGAGTAGATATGGGATAGTTTCCTGTCCTAAAGAGGTCAGGTTCTCTCTTCTGTGTCTCGCTGCCTCCGTCTCCTGGGTCTTTCCTCTGTACTCCGCCCTCCGTCTGCAGCTCTTTTTGAGGAGTTCCCTCTGAAGTCCCCCCCCCACCCTCTCCTTTTTCTCCTGGCACAGTTTCCTCTCAGCCACTGTGTCTGCACGCCTTCTTGTCTTTGCATTTTCTCCCATTTCTGGCTAAACATTTTGTATCCCTTTCTACTCTTTTACTTCAGAGTGTGTAACTAGTGTTTTCCTTCCCTCCTCTCTCGCTTGGCGTCCCAGTTTCCATCTTTCCTTCTGCCTTCATCTCGCCCCCATGTCCTCCTTTCCCTCTCTTTCATCCCCCCACGTTCTCCTCGTCATTCCCCCTGTCGCTCACATGAGTTTAGCTCTCTTTACCTTCTGTCCTGTCCCTTCCTCTTACTACTTCAGTCTGTAATCTCCACATGCACAGAGGTCATCTGGGTATTCTGCCATCTCTCAGTGCTTCCAGAATACATGAATGAGTATTATCTGCACCTGTATGTCTGATCAGCATATATTACAAAGTAAACTACTGATACAGTTTTACACTGTTTGCCCACACAAAGTCGCAAAAGAGTAAATGTTGTGAGACAAAAAGTAAAGATATTCTAAGTCTATGAGACAAAAATGTAATCCTATTAAACAAATAGTTGCGATAATGAGACCAAAGTCAAAATAATAGTACAAAAGTCACACAAAAAGTCATAATCATGAGACAAAAGTTCAATCTAGCAGACAAATAGTTCAAATAAAATAAGAAGTCATAATCATAAGACAAAAATTCAAAAGTCAAAGAGTGACTGACTATACTGTAGCACCAGAAGTATTAATCCGCCTCTGTAAATAGTTCCTATGAAATGTAGTGTTACGTATGCTATAAGACCCAGCTGTCTTTCAGGGAGTGATGTAGCATAACTCTGACAACACAAATCCCTGAACAGGTGTGATTCCTCTCAGAGGACACCGGCCCCCTGTGAGCTCCTCACCTCAGCTGGCCCAGGTTGTAGTGCCTCTTCTCCCCGTCGGTGGAGCGCATGACGCAGACGGAGAAGCACGGCTGCAGCTGCCGCAGCTCCAGCAGCACGATGGCCAGGTAGTGGATGAAGAGCAGAGCGTCCACCAGAGACACGGCGTACTGCACGATGCCCTGGTAGTTGTCGTCCTGAAAACAATAATGTACCTCTTAATGATACTTATGCACAGTACACACAATACATACACAAAGTACTCCTGCAGGGATATTCAATGAGATCATACAAATGTAAGACAAGATGTAGAGCATATGAATATGGAGATGCATTTCAAAGCAAGCTTTTTAGTGTTTTCCTACATGCATTCTGAATGAGGGACCAACAGGGAGTTTAAATTATGACTCAAACAAAAAAACACACAGCACTGGGAAACCAAATATCTCTTTTGGTTGTTTGTTGATCTTCTAAAAGGCATTCAGAGTTAATGTGTGTACATACAGCTATGGGAAATACTTGGTTCTGTGTGAGTAAAAAAAGTATTGCACATTTTTTATTAGCTTCCTATGTTGATGTTTTGCATTTTATTTGATCTTTTATCGGACATGTCCTTTACATTTCGTATGTTTATCTATTTTTTCAGCATTTCTAACTTAAACATCTAATGTACATTCTTATATAATATATTTATAATTTTATTTTAAAATGAAGCAACTGTAACAAAACCTTATCACCCCTGGGATAAAAACAATATTGTGATTCTGCTTATTTACAAGCAATGACAGAGATTATTTTGGATGCCTGCATTTCCTTCTTTCCCCTCACCTGTGTGTCCAGTATCCTGACTCCATAAAACAGCCAGTATGACATCACAAAGAGCAGCACCAGCACGGCGAGCAGCGCCCGGAACACAAAGACCCGCGGGAGGCCGGCCCTTGGCGACCTGAAGAAGAGCGCCCAGACGGCCAGCAGCAGGATGAGCAGCTTGAAGGCCACGGAGATGAAGAGGCCCTCGCAGGCCGTGCCGCAGCTCTGCAGCTTCTCCGGCCACAGCAGGTGGGGCAGCACCAGGAAGGCCACGGGCGTCAGGAACACCAGCAGGCCCAGGACCACGGCCAGCGTCAGGGTGAAGTACCGCCGGCAGTCCAGCCCCACGCTGTCCTCCAGGTCCTTGGTGATCCGCACAATGTCCTCCTGGGACAGGCTGTGCTCCGAGGTGCCCGTGACCGCCGTGGTGGTTTCGCCCCAGTTGTCATCCTGGAAATAAATGTTGTCATTTTTTCAATAAATCATGCCTCACTTTTTCATCTTAACTAGCTTGAAATAACGCGGTTATACAAAGAAAAATGACCTATTTTTATTATTATTTTAATAATATTATAGTCACTTTCAAACATTCACATGATTCAGGCATATTTACATAACTTAAATCGATTATTTAGGAAACTAAATTATTTTCTACAGATTGTGAGGCATCTAATTATAAGTCAAAAAGTGTTGCTGTAAAAAAGAATGCATGTGAGTGAGCAGTAAAGTCCATTAACAAACCAGTTTAACTGATGTTGTACAATACATGGTTGTAATGCATGTGTGGAATCATGCACACTAATATTTCACATTCTGTTTATCATGTGTGATCTACTGATCCATTCGCAACTGCAGCACAAAAACCAATCATCCTTCAGATGATTTTATTAAGAGGTGTTTTTCTCGATTCACAGATTTGTCTTCAGTGAAAGGAACATTTCAGATGCACCTAGTGACTTCAGCAGGTCTAGCAAATGCACAATAACAAAACCTACAATGGCAGAGTGGGCCCAGTACAGCTACTCTGCTCCAGGGGAAAATGTGAGAGACGGCATCAGAGGATTGAAAATATTAAAGCTCCTATCTGAGCTTTTTCTCACTCGAGTGAATTAGAATGGGAAACATGTTCCAATACCTGGGGCTCATGTAGTGGATTGTTTTTTTTTTAAACTTCTGACGTCAGCTCAACAAAAAAGACATGGGAGGTTATTTCTAAGCACGTGAGAAAGAAAGGAATAGATAGGAAGTGGGAAAAGTAAACAGAGCGAGCTGCCAACTGAGCTTTACGCTGACGTCTGGGTCTGACTGCATCCGCAGATAGTGAAGGTCAGCAGAGGCGCGAGAACAAGAAAGATAACAACTCTTTACACTGCAGTCATAACAAGAGCTAACGCGGCTATGTGAGCCGCTGCAAGGGAACAAGGGACTGATAATGAACCATAGACACTGTTACCGAAATGTATTACCACTGTAGTCAAATGTGTGTAGGAATGAGTCCTAAACCCTGAAATGAGTTGAATTTTACCACTTCAGGTTTTCAAGTCACATACATCTTGTAAATAGTAAATACCCCACTGATGCATGTCTGAACCTTATTTGTCTCACAAAAACAGCGGTTGGTACAGTGTAGCTAAATGAGACGACTTAACGTCATTGAAAGATAGCCACCTTTAGCTTAGCAAAGATGCCGTAAAGTCATGTGACCACGATGCAGTTTGCTTACAGCCTTACGTTAGCTTTTTACTTAAAGTGGACCTATCATGCTATATTTGAATAATATAGTGTAGGACCATACCTATATAAGGCATATTTATACTTTTTTCTCTTCAAAATACCAAACAGATCATGCATTTTAGCCATGCCTCATTTTGCACCTTTTTTGAGCTCTGCTCTGCAAGGGCAGATTCTGTGAGAACAGCACCACCTACAGGCCTGGCATATGTACTACAGCGTCTCCAGCGCTTTCGAACGGCAATGGCCGTGGCTGTCTCCTCCTGATTGGTGGAGTTGGCCCAATAGCCGTAGCGCTACCGTCCTGACGTCAGGACAGTGTTCAAATCTGGATCAGTTTTTATCAGATCCGTTGCAGCCCCTTTTTTAGAGATTTGGGTATGGAGGAAAATAGAGAGGGTTGTGTTTTCTGACACTTTGTGAGTTCCCTGGAACACCGGGGACACATATTCATGTATAAAAGACGTACAAAAGTGCATTTTGCATGATAGGTCCCCTTTAAGACTAGTATCATAAACGTGTGTTTGCCAAATATCTTATTTTTTGCATTATCCTAAATACAATGGTTGATTTCTTAGAAGGAGTCCTTGAGAGGCTAACTTATGTGTCAGCCTACAAAAACACATCATGACTGCACCACTCCATTCAGCCGGTATTAGCAGAGAGGGGATATGATGATGACTTCAGACTGAGGGGGGTGGGAGGGTGGTGCATTGGGACAGAGAGTAGCCAACTGGCCTCAGGGGTTAAAACAGCAGATACAAGGGGAACAATGGAGGACCAGGCAGAATGCTCAGGTTGTTTTTGCTGGAAATACGCTTCAAAGTATACTGAAAACTGAATTTACACAAAGGATATTAATACTGCAAAGGCAAAGAAGAGAAACACCTTAGTTGTGCCATTATTTTAGGCTGAAAAACCAAAATGATGAGCCTCAGACATCCAAACATTTGCCGTTCCTGAAAGCGCTATCCTTCACGATGACTTGTCGGTGTAGTTTTTCACAGTCAGTCTGAGGTGCAGCCCCTGCAACCGATCTCAGTCTCATCTGACCTTTGACATGACAATGCGGTTGTAAATAATCATCTGACTGTCTGCAATGCTGTAGAAAAAAAAGTGAAACATCAGGAGTGACCCGTCCCATGAGCTGTAAACCAGACGGTGGAATGCATGGCTCGGGTTCAAAACGTCAAAGAGGGAAGATGTTGATACGCCGCCTGACATTTGGGAGTGCTGAATGTCTGCATCTCATTCCTTCATGCAAGTAAATTAACCTTAAGTACGCATTTAAGAGATATGACTGTATTACAAACAGTACTGGTGTCACAGGTCTATTTGTTGTGGTGTGGGTATTTTTCATAGCCATGGGTGGGGTCATATAATCTAACTTGAACTAACCAATGTCAAATAAAGGATCAATGAGTCAAATGAAGAATAAGAAATAACATGCATCAGTATTCCTTCAAACTACGACAAACAAGAGTACATAGTACAACAAAATTGCAAGATATTCACAAACACACGTAAATAATGTATATATCAGTCCAGTCAATTGGATTAGAGATTGCTATAGAAAGAGAACAGTGAAAGCCACTTCATTAATAATGAGCGAGCGGACTGAAGAGGCCTCTCCACAGAGACTAATGCAACACGCCTTTTACTCACAAGAAGCAATTATCCCCTACGGAGAAGAAGAGTAAGCACAACCTCATTATTTTCTTTTTATATTAGCAGAGACAAGTGGTCGGCCAAAGGCGAGCCACAAGCCTGGGTCATACAGAGATTCACAAATCAGCAGGGTGGTTAACCAGCACGCCTGCAGGTATACACAGCAGCATGGGTGAGACGTTTGACATCCTTTAAATACATGTTTTAATGTCTCCTGATTGTTAGGTATGACACCACAGGCATTGTAACATGCATTTGGGGCTATTGTATAACTTTCTTCCGCACTAGAGGAAAGAAAACATCCAAAATGCACATTACTAGTATTATTTTAGTACAATGTTTTCATACTCTGAGGCAGAAATCCCCACTTGAGTAATCTATTAATAAGACCGAATGTTAACCCTATTAATGTGTAGTGTTTACCATGAATTATAACATGTTTTTCTGCATCAGTAATTATGACACAACTGATCCACATGGTGTTGAGTGCAGTTCATTTTGACTGTTGACAGATTCTCAAGTCTTAATCGTGTTTGACTCCAGTCTAGCTAATGAAGACCAGTGTGTGTGTGTGTGTGTGTGTGTGTGTGTGTGTGTGTGTGTGTGTGTGTGTGTGTGTGTGTGTGTGTGTGTGTGTGTGTGTGTGTGTGTGTGTGTGTGTGTGTGTGTGAGAGAGAGAGAGAAGGAAAATCAATAGGCATTAGCTGTATATAGAGTGTCTCTCTGACCACAGTGTACTTGCACAGCACCCAGGGGAGACATGAGTCACAGCTTCTCATGCCGACACTCATCAACAGTCACCGCTCGTTTCAGACCTCTGAATCACTCACTCACTGCTCAAGGACTCTTCGAGGAGTCACCGTTTTCACACAGCAAAGACTTGCTCAGGGTCTTATTGAGTGATAACTGGAGGCATTTTCAAAGCCAGAAGGGCAAATTGGCATGTATCCAAAAATGTCAAAATACTCCATTAAAGTATTTTTGTGTTGCATTTTAAGCACTTTGAATTGTGTTGGTGAGAGGTGCTATCCAATTAAACGTACAGTGCCTGAATCAATCCAAGCAGCAAATAAATTAAGTATTAAACAAATATCCAAATAGTCGCCCAATCCTTTTTCACCCAATCATACCTGACTAAATGAGAATGCAATATAGGACAATGTTTGCTGTTGTTGTGAACTTTACTACTACTCCACCTGGGCTTTTGCTTCGCCTGCAAGGCTAAAAATAGGTATTAGTGACCCACATTTCCTCACGGGATTAACCAACAACTACAGGCTGATCTGGTTCAGTACCAGCAGCACGGAGAAGGGCGAGAGCAGGAAACATGTTCGATAACAAGACAGCCAATTAAAGAGAGGGATTGATCCAGAGGGGGGGGCGGTGCAAATTCAAGGGGCCAGAGAGGATTAGTGCACACACACACCAGCGTGTGAAACCCTCCGCTCACTACTACATTTCCTCGCTTCAACTAAACACCTGTCAGGTCTGCTCTTGTTCTACGTCTGCTGTGATTTATTCATCGGAGAAGGTTTTACAAGCGATTCCTCACTCTGGGAGGAGCTGAGGCGTTCCGGTGGAGACTAAATAATGGAAACATCCGATATGACGTGTTCTGACATACCACTCCACGAGAGAAGAGAAGGGCTGGGGAAATGGGAACACAGATGAAACTACTCTAATAAGAAGAAGGGTTGAAGACAGTACATCTACTATGTTTGACATTTAAAGTTAGTCGTATCTTCTCCATGTGTTACCTATTTCAGGATACACAAATGGGTTGCGTATTAGCATCGTAGCTACAGAAGCTTTCGTTGTTTACTCAAGCCTGGCTAAAAATATCCCTTTACTGCTAATTTTTTAAATGTTAGAAAACACATTTATTTGTGATCTTGTCAAGAGTTAGATAAGAAGATGAATGCCACTTATGTGTCTATATCAGCTGTATGTAATATCAAGGTAAAACCTGGAGCAATTAGCTTAGCTTAGGATAAAGACTGGTGGCAGAGGGGAACAAGTTAGCCTGGCCTGTAGAAAGTAAAAATAAATGT